CACTTTTAAAAATATGTACATTTTAAAGTGATTTTCTAATATTTTTGTGCACATATGAAATATATGTCTGTTTTTAACCTATTTTTAGGCATCAATTGAATCGCAGACTTTGGAACTGTATAGATTGAGAGAGCAAACTATGTTATTGCTTGTGTTTGAAGTCAGGAGGTGTGGGAAGTTTGCACTGAAATATGAATGAAAATTGCTCATAGGGATTTGAAGTCAGGAGGTGTGGGAAGTTTGCATTGAAATATGAATGAAAATTGCTCACAGGGATTGTTTACACATTCCTGTTCCCAGGTGATTGGGTATAGGACTGGGGCTGATTTCGCCAGATACTTGGATGTTTTGTGATAGCTTCAGAATACAGTTTAAAATCATATTTGTTTTTGAATTGTTTTGGTAATGTTACTTGTGGCAGGTAATATTTTAAGGCCAGGTAATGTTTTAGAAGAAGCAAATCTTTGTGACAGTGTTGTGATCAGAGTTACTACTACATCATGGAGGTTGAAAGTAGATCTGTTTCTTTAGCCATTGGGATCTGTGATTCTACACATTAATAAACTGTATTTTGCGCTTAGATATTGGACTTTAGATATCAACTTGCTATTTTAAAAAATCTAGATTAGGTAGTGCCTTTACTGTATTGGATAACTAAAGAGTTACAAATAAGGCAAGCTTTCAAGTTCTGTCGAACTCTTCATTAGGCAGTGGGGGTGTGTGAACAGGAATGGAAAAATACAGTTTTAGATTCCTTATACAGAGGTAACAAGGGCATAAATGTACAGGTTTTCACCGCACAAAAGACAAAGGTTTAGCTTGGCATGCTGCAGATCTGCCAGTTGCTCTGCTAGAAGCCTCAGGCCTGATCCAGGATTTTGTTCCTATGCATGAATCACATGGCTATTTTTTGTGAGAGATTTTTAGAGAAAGGTTTCTAGTCCTTAGAACTATGGGGATAAACTTGAAAGTGAGCAGACACAAACACTCAGAAGTTGGGAGACAAGTAGAAAGGCTCATCTGAGTAGTGCAATATATTCTCAGTGGTCTGATGAAAGAAAGATAGTGCTTAGGTAGTATATTTATATGACTTTCTCTCTGAAGCTTATACAAGTGCCATGTACAGCTTGAGCAGTCTGTTCAAAGGAA